CTGATCACACGTGTGGCTCTCCTCTGCACCCTCTCAAGCTTCTCCACATCCTTTTTGAATTGCAGAACCCAAAACTGGACGCAGTACTCCAGCTGCGGCCTCACCAAGGCTGAGTACAAGGGGAGAATGACGCCCTGGGATCTGCTTGAGAAGCATCTATGGATGCAAGCCAGTGTTTTGCTCACTTTACTAGCCGCAGCATCACACTGAAGGCTCATGTTCATCTTGTGGTCAACCATGACCCCCAAGTCCCTTTCATCTGTAGTGCTAACCAGCATAACACTACCAAGCCTATCAGCATGGTGCAGGTTTTTCCTCCCAAGGTGGAGAACCTTGCATTTTTCGGTGTTGAACACTATCAGGTTCTCGTCCACCCATTTCATAAGTCTGTCCAGATCTGCCTGGATCACCCTCCTGTCCTCAGGTGTGGATGCTTTACCCCAGAGTTTAGTGTCGTCGGTGAACTTGGCCAGTCTGCTTCTGACACCAATGTCCACATCAGAGCCTTGTGGGACCCCACTGGTCACAGCACACCAAGATGATTGGCCCCCGTTGACCACCACCCTCTGGGCGAGTTCCCCAGCCAGTGGATCGTGGTGACGTCAAGGCCGCAGTTAGCCAGTTTAACCAAGAGGTGATCATGGGATACCAGATCGAAGGCTTTTTTAAAGTTGAGGTATATGATATTGATCTCTTCCCCTTTGTCCAGGTGATAAGTCACCTGGTCATAAAAGGAAATAAGATTGGTCAAGCAAGACCTACCCGCAACAAACCCATGCTGGGTATCCCTCAGGTGATCGTGCTAGTTAGGCTATGGTCCTGGTTTCAAGGCTGCAGGCCTGACAGACACTTTCTCTCTCTTTTCTGGTTTATTTTTGGCATGGTCTACAAGTTCTACATTCTCTCTTTTAAAAAGAGTTATTTATTGACAAAATGTATTTTATTACCAGGCATTTATGAAAGTGATGATATCAGCATTATTGTATCTGAAATGGAAAAAGCAGTCAACTACTCCCAAAAGGTATGCTTTAAAAAACTATTTCAAATTTTCTTTAGAAAATAATTACTGTATTTGTTCAACTGACAGTGTCCACTAGCTAACTGTACAATCAGAATTCTTTGTGAGATAGCTAAGGCATAATTTAAAATGATAGTTACAGTACAGTTGCATTGGTGAGTTGGTCACCCCCCAATTCGTCAAAGGGCCCCAGAAGTTCTGGCCCTCCCCAAGGCAAGACTTCCAGGGCCCTTCAACCAATCAATCAGAGGCATGGCATGGCGGGGCCCACCACACTTCTCCACAAAAATCTCCACCCCTCTCTGCCCATGCTTCAGCATGCCAAGGCTTCTTACCATTTTCTGTTTGCAACTCCCTTTTTTTTTTTTTTTTAACTCACTGGCTGTTTTTGTGCTTTTTCATGGTTCCTGCACTTTTAAAACATATTTTCTAAGCATATTTGCTTCATCCTCTCTTTTCTACTCCTTTCTGTTTTTTGTTATAGACACTAGGGGGTGACTTCATCTATAGTTAGGCTTTGGCTTGAGTTTTCTTTCAGATATAACCCCTTTCTAAGCATGACCCCTGATGTTAGGATCTGAATTCAAGGCTTAATACCATTCACTTACTAGTTCTCCACCATACTGATGTTTGTTCAGAAGAGACCAACCTTCTCACAGTAGGTCTACCAGCAGCAATCCCACAATTCCTTTTCACCTACCTCCTCTCTAGTGTGTGAAAGCTAAGTTGTATATTTAACTGTTTGTTGTTTCATAGATTCCAGGGTCGGAGGGGACCTCAGTGGTCCATATAGTTCGGCCACTTGCCCCTGGCAGGCAAGAAAAGGGTCACCAAACCTGGGGTCATGTGAATCCAGCTAGGTGCCTGCCCAGTCTCCTCTTGAAGACCCCCAAGGATGGGGCAGGCACCACTTCCCTTGGCAACCCTTACTGTGAAGAACTTTTTTCTAATGTCCAGTCTAAACCTTCTCTCCAATAGCTTATGGCTATTGTTCCCTGTTGAGCCACCCTTTCCTCGAAATCTGTGCAGCATTTAGCAACTGCCACAACAAGCTTGACTTCCTAGCTTATTGTCAGTAAGATTGGCCATATTATGGTGAATGTGTAAGAGGAATATGCCAGGGAATATGTACCAGCTCCAGTTAAAAAAATATACATATTTTTATGTAGTTACATACAGGGTGCAGTTACTTCCAGGCTCAGGACCAATGATTAGAGATAACTAGAATCTCAACTAGTTCCTAAAAAGACTGTTTTTCATGGAACAGAGGAGCCTAGAGTTCATCCTGTGGTCAACTTCTGGAAATATGAAGTACAACATGAACAGCTTTGGGGAAGGAAAGCATCACAGGCATTGGGCCCTTGCAGATGAGCTCAAGTCAGAACCTAAATATTAGTGTAAACATCTCTACTTGTGCCTTGTCCTTAATTAGCTTGAGTTAGTCCTCAGGGCAGTGATGTTATTCCTAAGTGTTTGTGCAGTGCTTGGCATGGTGTGGTCTCACAGCAAGACCTGTAGGTTTTACTGTAATACAAATACATAATAAGTTGTCTGCATAATATTTTGTTGATTTAAACTGCAAATGCCATATTAAATATAGCAATACTCACAATTTTTATTCCAGTGTGCCTTATTGGTGGAATCCTTAAAGCAGTGTTCAGGAAGTAAGTTCCCTAATCAGTTTATCCCAGAAGAAGACTTAAAGATGCTCTTGAAAAAGGAGAAAAGCAGACCCCAGAAATTGCCGTCTCCTAAGGCCACAGCTGTCACACTGGCTAGAATGGTTTGATTCTATTTATTATTCACAATTAAGTTTACATTTTTTAGTAATTGGATCCCACACTGTGAGGTTTCAGCTGGGACATAGATGGCTTTTCCTGCAGGTAGTACATGCTGGAGGGCAATCAGGAAGTCAGGTAGGTGGGGATACAAGTTAACAGGCCATCAGGTTGGGGTCTGGATCAGCAGAGTGAAGAAAACATGGGACCAGGTCCCAGGAGAGCTGAGGGGGAGATCTGAGGTAGGAAGTTGCAAGATCTGAGGTAAGGTGCGAGCTGAGATCAGAAACCAAGAAAATCCAAGCAAACAAAATTGTAAGTCAAAGCAGGGCTCAGCTCAAAAAGTTTAAAAACTGCTGGCCTAGGATCAAGGTCAGGTGTGGAAGCTCAAGAGCTCAGTTCGACCGGGTCTCACTAACCAGAGGCCCTGATGTGCTCAGATGCTGCTCTTGAGAAGAGAAAAGTTTGTTGGTTGAAAACTTCAGGAGTATCCCTTTAGCACAATATAGTACTCTTACATTGTACTTCACATTCAAAATGCAATGTAAATATTAACAGTGCCTAATTTATTTATTCACTCTTGTGAAATAGACAAGGGTAGTGAAACAAGAAATCTTCCTAGTTATGCATGTGTGTGTGCAGGCATGTATGTGTTTGTTTATGTGATTTATATGCCACCCTTCCCAACAAGGCTCTGGACAGCTTACAGTAAGAAAACAGAATAAAAACAGGAGAGTACCAAGAAAACAAAACCAACTTAAAAGCAAACTAGAATATCAAAATAAAACAGAGTTCCCCTAATCAGTATTTCATCCTAGCTTTGTTTGGTAAGTGCCTGTCCAGGTAGGAAGTTCTTACCGTGCTTCTGAAAGATGTCCAGGGACCAATTCTGACAAGCCTTGAGGGAGTTTCAGAGCTGAGAAGCAACTCCAGAAAACAAATCTCTCATGTGTTTTTGCCAAGTGATTTTGTGTAATGATGGTATTTGTAGGAGGTTGCTCTCAGCTGACTTCAAGGATTGCAATGGAGCATAAGGAAGAAGGCGGTTCCTTAGATATGTAGGGTGTAGACCATTTAGGGCAGGGGTTGGCAACATTTGGCCCACGAAGCCACTGGATCTATTCCACAGAGCTTGACGGCTTTACCTATGCCCACACCAGGGCAGCAAGGAACTGCACTGGGGTTGTGCAACTTCCAGCTTGCACCCTGTGTCACTGCTGCTTGCCCTGCCCCCTTCTCCCAGCCTTACCGTGGGTGCAGTGCTGGGGTGGGCAGCTGAAAGATGCATCCATGCTATTTTACTTCTCCCCCACCACTGCCGCCCAGCTGCCACAAAGAAATGCTGGCAGTACAGTCACAGCTGTCTAGCTCTACTGCAGGCTCAAGAAAGCTCCCGGCTGTTCATGCACCATGGAAGCCACCTGGCCAATGTTGGACGAGAGCTGGCTGTTCAGGCTGCAGCTTGAAAAGACTGATGGCTGCCAGTTTAGGGCTTTGTGTGTCAAAACAGACACCTGGAATTGTGCCCGGAGAGCTGTTAAGAGCCAGTGCAGACTTGGGAGTACTGGAGTTAGGTTTTCCTGGCAGCCCACCCCACTCTCTAAAATGATCTTGGTGAATAATCACAACAGCTTTTCTGTTTGCTAACTTATCACCTCAAAAATACAGGAGGAAAGTGTAGAGTCAAAGATATGAATAGGTGGCACAGTTGTATACTTCAAATTGTAAAAAGTTTACACCATAGATAACACGTAAGTGCTGATAGTGGGGAAGGCACAACTCTGTGCTGCCACTGCTGCCCCCACTGCTGCCAGGCACTGGGTCTGGCTGGGCTACAGCCCTGCTGTCAGCACAGAAATCTAGGGGGGAGCTACATGCCCCCCCATGCTTCCCCAAACGTTGCCTATGGCTTATACAGACATATCTCTAGAAATGTAGTGATCCTTCAATGTGACGCTCATCTGATATTAGTGTACTTCTGAATAATTAAGCATGTCAGCTGGAAGTAAACATTAGGGCTGTGCAAAGCTTTGGTCCCTGATTCAATTTGGCAGAGATTCGGCCCGATTCAGTAGCTGAAACTCCAAATTCAAATCAAATTAGAGGGCCCTTTAATCTCTCCAAATCAAATCGGAACCTTCTGAATCAATTCAGAGAGATATGGAAAGATTTGGAGATTCAGACATTGAAACACCTTTAAATGTTTTTTCTAAATACCTCTAGGTAGCAGGGGCTCGTGAGTGCTGTGAAGCTGGGGCGCATAGACGTGCGGGGGTCTCCCCCAGCGTGCTCAGCAGCAGTCCCAGAAGTGGACCAGAAGCACTTCCTGCCCACTTCCAGGTCCACTGGGGAGCATGCGGGGGGGCTCTCCGTGTCCCCCTGGCTTGGCAACTGGTGCCTCCTGGATCTGGGGGGGCGGGCACCCAGGGTCCCCCTGTGGCCAATCACTGAGCCAGCGGGGGGAGGGCATGGGGGGGAAGGGGGGAGGCCTGGCACACTCACCAGCACTGTCCCAAGCACTCAGAAGTGGACCAGAACTACTTCTGGTCCACTTCCGGGTTCGCCACCAAGCACGTGGAGGGCCCCCTGCACTCCTGTGGGACACTCCATGTCCCCAGCATTGCAGCGATCATGAGCCACACCTGCTACCTCAAGGTATGTAGAAAAAGCTTTTAAAGCTGTCTCTGTGTCCAAATTGCTGCTTCTCCAAATCAGCATCGAATCTTCAGATTCAGAATTGGCCGAATCAAATCAGGGACAGTGATTCAATTCAATGAATTGAATCACTGTCCCCGATTCAGGCCAAATTCAAATCTGAATCGAGTAGGGTCCGCTTTGTACACCCCTAGTGAACATGTTTCTCCAGCTGCTTTCTGCAGTGTTACTTGAATGCTTGATAATACTGCAAGAATCTGTCCGATAGCTGAAATGAATAGGAGTTCACAGTGTCTCCCATTCTACAAGATATGCTTCACACTGAAGTTGAGCCTTTAATGAGCAGTGTGAATGGGTAACCAGAAACTGAAGTAATGTTCTTGTCCACCCAAGGTGCTCAACATTCAGTAAAAAATATGTGATAATATAGCATAATGCTGTAAAAGATTCTCTCTGGCACCAGAGTAGAAAGCGGTGTGGTATAAAATGGAGTTATGTAGCTAAGATACAGTCATACTATTTAAAAAAAAAAAATTCACAGATTATCTGTACTTTTAGAATACTAGAGACAACTGTGATGAAGAGAAAAACGCTACCATAAGAGCTCTGACATGGCGTCCAACAAGTGCAAAGGCAGAAATTCCACCATGTATGTACAGAAGAAGTTCATTGTTTTGTTTGTTAATTCTCTCAAATTAGTTTAGAATGTCCATCTTCACAAACATTTTTACCCATACACTTCTAAACCAGTTTAATAGGAAACATTACAGTTCTTCTTAAACTAAGACTGTTTGTTTGATTGATTGATATACAGTCCTTCCCAAAAACGCTTGGAGTGGCTTACAATAGAAGAGAAATGAGACTTGTAGAAAGAAAGAAAATATTAAAATAAGAACAAACTCCTCTTTCCTTCCAAAGAAAAAAAATCCTATTCAGAAGCAAACCACCACACTACTGCCCACACACTGCCATTCCTCCAGCCTTTGATTAAGTAGAGCTTTCCCCACCCTGCCCAACCTAACCTCTTTTTCAGCCCAGTCAATGAGAAATAATTTGTCCCCACCCATTTTCCTTAACATCCCTATTCACTCCCACTCCCTTGCCTTAAATGCATTGGAGTCTTTCCACCCCTCTACTGTCCCTTGAAACCTGTAACCTCTTGTCTCAGAATGGGGCTATGGTTTTCTCCCAAACCATTAGTTGCCCACTTCCCTACAAGAAAGTACATTGCTCAGTTAAAACAAAAACCACCCATTTCCACTAACTCTTATCCCTCACTGATGGGCTATGCCAAAGGATACCTTTGAATGTTATGTTCTGGGGGTGCCAGTACTCCCTTTTAAAGTTTCAGGCTAATTGGGCTTTTTCCTCTCCAGCTTGGCTGGCCATGTGGTTTGCCAGGTCAGCCTCCCAGCCCTTCTGCTGCTCCACACTTAGCCCCCTGAAGCAAAGGGGGTAGTGTTAGCAGTCCCTGCCACCCTACAGGCTGTTTCAGTCTATAGGGAGTACCATATTTTTTTGCCTGCAGCACATCCCAAAATAATACACACCTTGTTTTAGAAACGCATAATGAAGAAAAAAAGATTTTTCCAGAATTATAGCTGCACAGAGCAGGGCCAAAGTCTAATCTTCAGCTAACACACCCTCCTTTTCCTGCTCAGGCTTTGAAACAGGAGAAAAGAGAGACCAGAACCAGCTAGTAGACAGCAAAATTGCCCTGGATTAACTTGATCAGTGGGCCACCAAGACCATTAGTGGATCATCCAAAATACTGGTTGTGGCAGCTATGGTGCCTGGGGTGCCGTGAACTCCCCTAGCGCCCCCTACCTACCATGCCAGATCAGGTTTAGTGCACCCTCGATATCTCGCCCGCCACGTCTTTGATGTTAATATTGAAGGGAGGCTGCCTTTCTAACCCTCCTTGGCACGGTGCCTTAAGATGTCTCCTGGCTCTGCCTAGTTGCTCGGTGCCCCCGCCTTATGGGCTGTGCGTGGCTCCTACCACTCCTTATACCACGCCCCAAGCCTCTCAGGTGTACCGGATGTTGTTAAGTCTATTGTCTTCTCTTAGCGGTCATCTCTGGGGCTTTTACTCTCATGCTCGACTCGCACTCGCCCGCAGCCTGCACTGGGGCCTGGCTCGACTTGTGCTCACCCACAGCCCACACTGGGGCCTGGCTCGTGGCTCCCACAATCAGGGCTCAGGTGGCCATAGCTGTGCCTGGCCCCCAGACCCTCTTTTCCAGGTCCTACACCCCACTGGGGCTTCTTGCCTGCACCCATACTGGGCTCCTCCCAATGCTGCCCACACTGGGGCCAGGACACCCCAAAACACAGCACTCTCTCCAGCACCAGGAACCCCCCCACTCTACTTGGGAGCTCCCATGAGGCCTCCTCCAACCCCTACAGCCTCACCGAGTCCTCCAGTGTTACACAACAACAAACAGAAAACTACCACTCTCGTGTTCCAACACAAATCCCAAGCCGCCTGGCTAATCTTCATATATATCCCTGCTAGGGTTCTTCTCCACCCAGTATCAAGCAAACACAGACCATCAGGCTTGCTTGCTCCGGCAGAGCTCCACCTTCCTCACTGCCAGAGGGGAACTGCTTCTGGCCTCAGCCTCGCTATTTAAATAGGCCAGGCCCTGCCCCCTTCCAGTCAGCTGACCAGACTGGTTGCCCCGGCAACCCACACCTGTGCTGCCCTGGTGACTGGCAGCTGAGCTCCTTTTACTGTGTTTCAGTAGCAGGCACCTTAGTGCCCTGCTACACTGGTCTTCGGGTTATTGTCTCTTATTTTTACTCATTGGCAGTCATTTTATGACATTTCTTCAATTTTCTTTCATACTCTTAGCCATTGAGGAAATTTTGCCCTTACACTTGTAGTCCACCTAGATGAAGAGAGAGGCCTGTAGACATGGCCTTGAATGTTGAGAAGACTAGGAAATTTTGTGAAAAAAATGCTCTGATCTGATATTATCAGAGAAGGTTGAGTATGTGGAAATGAGCACTGCAGACATAGGACAAGATTTTTTACTCATTATCTAGTCCCACAGACACCAGTAAAACTTACCTGGAGGGCTGTGATTCATTTCTTAACCAAATCATGGCCACGAATCATGTATATACAACATGAGTAAGGACACTGGAATATGACCCTTAAAAAGATTATGGAAGAGGCAAGGAAGTTTTTGGATGATTCTGTCTAAGGCTGTGTGAAATTTTGGCAGCCGTTTCATTTCAGGCTGTTTTGGCACCCGAAACACCAAATCCAAATCAAAACGGAAGGCTCTGAAACAGCTCTGAAGCAAATTGGAAGGCTCCGAAACGTTTCGGAAATGTTTTGGGCAATTTTGTTGTTTTGGAGCCAGGCTTGCAGGGAAACAAAAACTAAGAAGAAGTGGGGGAAGGACTGCTCTGATATTGACATCTAGCTCCTGGTTCAATTCCCCAGCTCTGTGATTGCGTCCCCCAGCTCTTCCTGGGGGGCCCAGGCCCTTGATCTGCGTGTGGGGTTTCAGCAGGCTGCCACTGCAGGCTGGGGTCAGCAGCAGCCGCTTGGCACAGCCCACACTGAGCACCAGGAAGACTGTGGTGCTGCCGCTGGCCCCAGCCTGCTGAAACCCAGCATGCAGATCTGGGGGCCTGCGCCCCCCAGGAAGAGCTGGGGGGAACGATCAGAGAACTAGGGAATCAAACCAGGGTCTGGGGAATCCCTGCCGCACAACCTGGCTCTGCAGGGAGCAGAGATCCGTGCGGCTGCCCGCCCCACACAACCCCACATCCCCGGGGTAGCGCGGGGTGCGCAGTGGCAGCAAGGAGACCCTGGCATGGCTCTCTGCCCCCTGCAGAGCCAGGGCTGCACAGGGCGGGTAGTAGTGATATTGAAGAGACCCCAGCATGGATTTCTGCTCCCTGCAGTGCCAAGTTGCACAGCAGGAACCAGAAAGCTTGCTCTCCACTCCCCCTCCCCTGTACGAGCCACCTACGGCCCCATCCTGCTCCGTGCTGGGGCCCTGCAGCCCCTGTTTCCAAGCCCTGCCTGGCTGGGTAGGGCTGTATGAAGCTTCCCTTGCAGCCCATTCAAAATGGATTCAGAGGAGATTCAACCGAAATGAAATAGCACAGTGATCCGAAACACCAAAACGAATCACTGTCCTCTGAAATGGCTGAATCCAAAACTGAGTAGTAACACACCTGTTTTGCACAGCCCTAACTTTATTCCAACCATAGATATGGTCCACTGAAAGATATCACCAAAGAAGAAATCCTTGCCTCACATAATTCCTGGACTATCACGACTGCAACATCATTTTAACATGACATTAGAAAGATTAGTGAAACTTCATGTATATTTTAATCCAAAAATAATGCTAACTTCTGGAGAAAAATATTTATTAAATTCTAGCTTTTATCTCCAAAAAATCAGTCTTAAAGCCTATACTTGTTATCACTTTGTTTTGTTAAGCAAATGAGACAAATGTAACTAATTAAAAATTAAGTGCAGTGTGTATTAGTACTTAGCTTCCCCCATGTATAAGGCAGCTTCTAATCTCCAAACATATAAATCTCTTCAAACTACATGTGATATTCCATCCACTGTTAATTTGTAAATGTCTAAGCTTGTTGGTTCTCATTTGCATATGGATAGTATAATGTATAATGTAGTATAGTATCTTGTATAATATAATAATGAGAACCATCCTTTTAAGTGTTTTAATCTGTAATAAAATATAAAAATATGAACTAAAGAGAAGGGTTGAGTAATGTGGCGAAAGAGAGCGATTGTCCTATCTGAAACAAACATCTGCTGTTTATAATTTAGCTCAGCCATTAAAAGAATGGTCTCAAGCTGGTCAAAAGAAAAAGCATAAATCAAGGAAACAGCCAGAGATCGCTATCTCAGCGTTTTATATTGACAAAGGAAAAAATGTGGGTAAGTGCTCTCAGGATGTAAAGCTAAAACTGTCAGCTGCTCCCAGTACAAACCATTGAGGGCACTGACAAACATGGGGAAAAAGAATGCACTTTACTGGAAGCAGCAGCGCATTACTTCTACCCAGCTCCCCACAGTGTCCGTATAGATTGGGCGCTTCAGTGAGGTTTTTGGATCTTTTAACTGAAGCCAATTCCATAGACTATTAGGTAAAAGTGCCAAAAAAGCCCCACTAAAGTGCCCAATCTATACAGACATTGGGAAAGCTGGGTGCAGCTAACACGCTGCCTCTTCTGGGCATGTCCTGGGCTCAGCATGGGAGCGCACCAAGTTTAAAGTAAAACACCATTTTGTTTGGTTTTCCATGTCTTCAGCCTTAACTATTAATTCAATAAAGATGAGCAAACTTATTGTGGCGAGAATGGATTTTGGAGGGGAAATGAATGGAATGTAGTTTTATCAAATGGTGAAGAAAATACTGGAGTTTTTTGTTCTTAGGCTTTTAGAATTACTTCTTATTTGATCTTGGGCAAATCAGTTTAACTTCACTCAACCTCATTATACCCTCTGTAAACTGAATGGTATGACATTCACCCGCCCTTGTAAAGTGCTTTGAAACCATCTGATCAAAGGCAAAGTGAGTAAAAAATATTGTATTGCTGTGGGCCCAAGCAGAGAAATTGGAATCTGAATGCTCCCCAGTGAATATCAGTTTGAAGGAGTTAAATTTGTTTTAAAGAAACTTAAACTGATCTGCCAAGGAGAGAGAAAGCGAGTGAAATTTAAGCCCCATTTTAAGTCCAAGGCAAGGCTGCTGAACTTATAAACTACACTTTACCCAGAACATCTAATTGAAACTTGTTTCTTTTCTTTCTAGGTACAGTTTACAGAAAGTATCCCAAGACAAAGGCTGTGAGGAGATCTGTTCCTTTTGCTGCGTTGCCAAAGGAAGAGGAAATGTGTTCAAGCAAAGAGGTATTATGTTGTTTACTAATTAATTACATCTATTAAACCACTAACAGGAATAGATTTTAAAATGTTAATATTTCTGTGGTTATTTTTATACAATTTATAGTAATTTTAAAGATGTAATTTGAATATTTGCTCTCATGTATAGTAAATAGTAAATTCAAGAGTTTTTTAATCTTGTTTTGCCTTTTTGTTCTTAAAAGTGGTTGAGCAAGCATGGTCTGAAAAAACTAAAGTTGGAGCTGCCCAGAATTATGTTTGGTCCTGAGTGTTTACACCAGAAGAAAATGGTGGAATCTTTGCACAAGAAAGTATCAGCAAAATACTGTACCATCTTCCCTAGTGTAGAAATCAAGGTACGTTTGCACAGCTATGACAAACCACCATATCTGAGGTACATATTATAATGTAGCTTTGAATTATCTAACGCTACACACAGTGGTACTAAACCAATGTTAAGCTCTGTCTCTTGGGGTACCTAGACACATGCTCCAACATGTTCTAATTAGATTCAATTAAGCCCGTCTGCTGGAGCATTTTAATTAGAACGATTCAACATGCTGCAACATCACGTATATTCAGCATCCCGCATTTCAAAATGGTGGTGGGAGCGCTTTAGATAAAACTCGTTGAATAAGCTTTAGTTAATGCACTCCCACAGCCATTTTGAAATATAGGATGCTGAAAACGCATGACGTTGTGGCATTTTAATTAGAGCGGCTGTTTGAGAGCCACTCTAATTAAAATGCCACCTCCCTACACTGGAGCACATGTATAGATACTCTTGGTTACTACTTTTATCAGCAGTGAATGTTCTTACCACCTTTAAGCTGATGATAAGAAACTATCTTGGGGGCAAGGGTTATAATTTATTGTGAAAATTTTCAGTATACCCATTTGTGCACTTAGGCAAAAACAGTCTGTTATCTCCTATACCCATACAACACGAAGGAAAAAAGTAAAGGGCCAAATCAATCAAGCAGAAATAACAGTGAAGCTGATATAAGTTGTGTGTGAATAGTAACTGACGGATTTGGCATATTGGTTCTGGCTGTAAACAGTTCTGCACTGTTACTCAAAACATAGATTGGGCAGAAATACTGAGAAAGCCATAGCAGTGTAGTTCAAGATACTGATTGTTAGTCTATTGCCTAGCAAAGCCACCATCATCAAAATCACAATAAACAAATGTACCCACTCAAATTCTATCATTTTATTGCCATATGCACCCTCCTCAGACCAGCACCAAATTTTCCAAATTTGGTCAAACCACACTGTTCTAGCCATCTGCATCTCTCTGCAGCAATACTTCCATGGTTCCTAGAATTTTTGACAAACAGCATGACTTTTTATAGGGTACTGTGAAACACCTGCAGCTTCAACCTAAGGAACTGGAAGAGTATGTTGAACAACTAGAGAGGGTGCTATGGCGGTATGTACAAAGAATACAGTGGCTTCTTTCAGGTAGGCTATATATCAAACCTATGCAAATATATTTCAAAAATAAATAAAATCCATCTTTATGCCTTATATCTCCACTGGCACACATTTAAGTGACATCAAATGCTACGTTCTTAAAAAAACGCTAGTGTGCTTATTTTTCCACGCAGAAGATACAGCAGGTGTCCCATAGAGATTTAACTGGTTAAGAGAGGTATGAGCTTTAGTAAGCAACAGCATATTTCATCAGGTGCTATCAATTAAATAAGCTGTTGCCTACAAAAGCTCATGTCTGTATATACCACCCAGCCCTACCTTGTGCCTAACATGACTAGTCACCTCTACTTATTTTTCTATGTTTCTTTACCTGCAGAACTTGCTGCAGAGCGAAATGCTAGTGATTTTCCACTTTGCTGCAGAATTATGCTTCGGAGTCCCTAGTTTTCCCTTTTTTTAATTACAATAGTAAGCTCATGGCTGTAAAAAAAACAAAAAACAAACAAAAACAACAACAACACCCCCCCCCCAAAAAGAAAAGAAAACGATCTTGAAACATGAAGCAACTTGACATGCAGTATTCTTTTCTGAAGTCTGCAGACTGTTTGAAATAGTAACTTTGGGTGGCTACATTAACCTTGGTATGGTGTTAACACTGTCATGCAGAAGGCAGGGCAGAGGTGCACCCCATAGACGAACTGAATCAGAAATGCATTTTGGGAGCCCACATCTCACTTCGTCAGATGCTATGAAATGATGTGCAAAGAGCAGGCTATCAAATAAAAGGAGTGATTTAAATACAAAAGACAGGAAAGGGAAGGGTAAGAGAGGGAAGGAAGGAGAGAAGGTAGTTCTAAGAGAGGTGGACCAGGTTGGAGAGAACAACAAAGCATAGGGACATAAAAGCTAATCTAGGTAATGGCATAAGAATTTGTAATCCCTGTTTAGAGCACACATAACACAATCAGTCTAGATGATTTCTTGTTTTGCAATTTCAAGTTTGAATTTATTTTTAAATCCCTTTGTTTAAATACAGCTATTCTAAGGTCAGCAATGGAATGTCCAGTGAGGTTAAAGTGTTAAAAGTCACAGGTTAAGAGTCAACATTAATTATTTCTCTTCTAATCATTTTAATAGAAACATCTATTTAACCTCTTTATCCTAAAGTCCATGTGGCCTGTTTTTCCACAAGTCTTTGCTGCCCTTCAGCTGCCAAAACAACCTATTTTCCACCTTACAGTTCTATAGTGCTGTTGGCAATTTTCAAGAAAAAAATACCCATCTTATTGAAAATGCAGGGGAAATATTAATGTAAAATTGCTCATCTGTCATACCAGAGCCAGCAAAATCCACTAGTTCAGTCCAGCTTGATCTCTGTGTGATGGTTAATGTCCCGGAAAAAGGAGTCCTTTATCAGTAAAATATGTAAGGTACTGGCTACAGAAATGGACATTTGCTTACTTCCACTGCTGGCAATGTGCTTCAGTCCCTACATGGAGGGCTCTTTGTATGGCTGAAAGGATGATTCATTGCCATGCTGATTAATTATTTGTCCTGTCTGTTGCTAACAGAGACTCCTATCGTGAAATAAACACCTCTTCTCTAACTAGCAAGAATGTGTCGAAGTAATTTTTTATATAAGCCATTAATCAGTTATTAGTATTCATGAGAGCTGGTTTTGAACTAACAGAAGACTCTGTCTCTTTTCTGATTCTTTATTCACCCAATCTCCTTACATATGAAGTATTTACATGAGAAAATTTGTCCTGTAGTCTACAAAAATTCCGTGTGCTGAAAGTTGTACTGACAAACTCAGCTAAAATGGTATATGATATAATACATGGCCATGAGTTGATATTTACTAGGCCTCACATTCTGGATTAGGAAGCCGGAGATTATTTGGCACCATTTTGGAGACAAAAGTCTGCATTTTGATTGATACATCTGGTTCCATGGATCCTTATTTACAACAAGTCACTAAAGAGCTTACCTCTCTCATCTGGGAACAGCTAAGAAAGAAAGATGCCAGGTATGAACGGCTGTGATTAGGACCCTGCTGCGCTAGGCATTTTGCAGACACACAGTGCTGGATGACACCTACCCTAAAATGCTTAGAAATAAAACCAAAAATAATATAAAGGGTATGAGGAAGGAAATATAGTTTTCTGGTAACCGTATACATGTAACATGTATAGTTTGTTTGTATCAGTTTTTTAGGTGATGGAAAATCAGACAGAAGTTAAGGCCCCTGGCAGACATTAATATAAGTGCATGCGTGGCATCTGAGCAATTTTATGCCTGATACCAAGAACAGTGCACCCTGCTGTGCCAGACCTACATGGCAGGATACATGATTTTTGGGATCAGGGATAAAACTCCTTGGATCGCAATTGCCCAGTCCCATATACTGACCCTGCAGGCCAGGAATGACGGTTCAAGCCAGCATGGGAGAGCTGGTTCCTCCATGCCGGGCTGCACAGGCACACTTTTCAATGGGTTTCAGGACCCAATACACCTTTCAATGGGACCTGGGGTTGCCCCCAGGTGTTGGACAGGGCCAGTCTGGTCTGGGACTCAGGGCTGCCTCCTGCCCAGTGCTGATAATCAGCAGAGAGAAGCCCCAGGTTCTAGCTCAGGTGGCTGTATCCCATCCCCACAAGCAGCCCCATCCCTGTGTGTCATTCCCACAACCAGCTGATTGTCAGGATGGGACCCAGGGTAGCCCTGGATCTTGCTACATGTTCAAATTAAAGCATGAAACAAACCAGCCAGAAGGATGTTCTACATTAAACAACTTTAAACATTAAATGTGGAACATCTTTATGCCATCTCTATGGTTTTCTCTTTTGTGCCATAAATTGCCTGAATATACCATGTTACAATTTAGGGCACAGCAAACACATTTAACTGCACTATAAATGCAGTGTCAGCCAGGGCCCTAGGTTTCTTATTCAAGAACATACAGTGAATCTTAGCATAGGCACAAGGCACATTTACATTACAGGAAGTAAGGACCAGACACAATAAATAGCCCTTCACCAGTGTAACTAATCTAAATCTGATGTAGAATTGCTGTTGTAAAAATTAAGGGTAAAACTGTTGGTGCAAGTTACACTGGTATATGTGTCATATCCAAAGCAATCTGGGGTACCTGGGGTACAGGCTGTTACCTCCTTCCCCACTGCCTAGTGGCCAAGTACTGCATAAGAACTACTGTTAATAACTACTCTCAGATAGCAGCCCACCTGTCTGCCCCAGATTGCTGTAATGTGCATTATTATATAAAACTGATGTAAATTATATTGGTGTAAATGTGTTGTCCAATCCCTTTGTATTAAGCTGAAAACTCTCATTGAACATTGTCCTTTTTAACAGAATGAAATCTGTCTTCTCAGGTTTAACCTGCTGAGATTTGCAGAAGATACAGAGGCTTGGCAGGAGTGCCTTGTAGAGGCAACAGATGAAACTTGTCACGATGCTGTCCAGTGGGTGTCCAAATTTCAAGCTCATGGTAATACATGTATCCTTAAGGCCTTACAGGTTAGTTAATTGTGTACCAGATTGCAATAGTAAAAATCACTGTCCTATATAATCAGTGGTACTCCCGGGGCATTATTTGGCCAAGTGTGATTTCTGAACAAAACTTCTATATCTATGTAAAATAGGACAGATCTAGGATTAAGCCACAATATTTGGATCTAGTCTTTACTCCAGAAGTGCTTGTGCCCATCATCATTACTTGGTTCAGTAGAAAAGTGAAATATTTCATGCTTTTGAATTAACTTAATTCCTTCCCATTCAGTTTTTATACATTCAAACAACATTGGTAAGAGGCAGGCAAGGTTCTTTGAGTAGATGTGATATCTTTTATTAGACCAGCTGAGTAGTTGGAAAAAAGTTCTCAGCAAGCTTTCAGGTGCAATTGCCCTTCTCCAGGCATAGGAAGTCTCTGCTATTCTGAGACTCCAAGGAATGAGAGAAGCTAAAAGTATGACAGGATGTCAGTGAGAATGTAAATAGGTAGAAATTAAGGAAACAAAAGGTAAAGCAGGGAAGGGAGGCGGTGTGGGGGAAAGCAGGGGTGGGGAGGGAAAACAAAAGGTGAGTAAGGGAGACTTTACAGTGGTAGTAATTCAAGGTAGAAAAGAGACTGTCTGTGAAAAAGTAATTTCCAGCTATTTCCTATCACTGTAGAGCAGCATTCCCTCTAAGCTGTGAGGCGTATGCAGCCACACAAGCAGGACTGGCAGTGCAGCATGAGTGCTCCCTTACTCACCTTTGGCTTTTTTCCCCCCTCCCATCCCTGCTTTACCTTTTTGTTGTCCTAATTTCTACCTATTTACATTCTTACTGACATCCTACCACACTTTTAGCTTCTCTTTCCTTGGAGTCTCAGAACAGCAGAGACTCCCTATGTCTGAAGAAGGGCAATTGCCCCTGAAAGTTTGCTAAGAACTTTTTTCCAACTACTCAGTTTGTCTAATAAAAGATATCACATCTACCCAAAGAACCTTGCCTGCCTATGTCCTTAGATGAATGCAGCTACAACCAAAAACCCATTGGCAGGAGGATAACTTAGCAGAAACTAATTCCTCCAAATGGAAGCCCATATAAAGCCACACCTGTGAATATGCATGCAGGGTAAGGGCCAAGCGGGTTCTTCCAGAGAAGGTGCCATATTCTTCCTTCCCTGCATACCCAAACAGTAGGACCTGAAGCCATAAAATGTGCCTCTGTCACAACCCCTCTTTAATTCCTTTTTTCACACACATGCTTACTGTTTCCATTTGAAGACTTTAAGTAAGTGGGAAGTATGTATCAGTATAGACAATCCCTTGAACTATACATTTTCTTTTCCTTTCTGGAATTATCATGGCAGTTCCCCACTTGTGAGATATTATCTAGGACTGATGAATTAAAATTAGTGGATCAAAAAGGAGTCACCTAAAGACTACAGAATTTAGACCTTGGATTACATCCAGAAAGCAAATCAGATAGTGACTCCTAACTAAAGGACGGACTTCTAACTCCAGATAATTTTGTATTATCATGTCTAGCTTTCTGGTAACCCATGAATGCTGGAATGGTTCAAGTGGAAGGTGAAGTTGCTCCTTTCAAATTTGTCTCTTTTAAGGAAAATTTCTACACTTCAGCTTTTTTAATGTGGTCCCGATACAAAATTTTTCAGTGTAGAAGAGCCCGTGGGAATTGGAGCAGCTGCCATGTTCAAATGGGTATGTTCTATTGAACTCAGCATGACCTAGAAGCCCAGCTGAAGTCACCTACTCCCTAAAGCAGCCCAACAGGTGTGCTTACATAATCTAATTCAAGGAAGCAACCTCTGAGGACAGAGGCATAAATATAAGGAGCAAGAGGTGCCACTGTTAGTGACACCAAATGGCCTGAGGCCTCATTCTCACAGCATGCTCTTCATGACCAGATACCTCCCACAAAAAGGAACCTCCACGTGGGGCACCACCTCCAGGATTTGCCCCACTTCTTTCTAAGTGCATTATGGACTGAAGGTTATCTTTGCCCTGAATTTCTTGCCTTATGTCAGTGGTGCTCAACCTTTCAATCCCACAAGTGGGATGAGTGGCATGGGGCCAATCCTGTGTGGGGGTCAGTTCCCACACACATGGATCAGGCCCTGTGCCACCCTGGCCCCCACCTGCCTGGATCAGGCCCCACATGCCCAGAACAGGCCCTATGCTGCTTCATGCTGCTTCATCTCCACATGCTGAATCAGGCCCCAAGCTGCCCCAGACACATGTCTGGATTAAGCCCCATGCTGGCCCAGCCCTGCATACCCTGATTGAGCCCCATGCCAAAGCATAGCACTTCCTTGTGCTACAGCCCTTCCCAATCTGGTTCCCGCATGCTTCTCTGAGAAACAGACATGTGGGACAGTTCCACCTGCCATGCGGCCCTCTGTTTTTAGGAGACACCCTCCAGGGCAAGGCCAGGAAGGGCTGCAGCATGAGCTGGCTCTCCTGCCTGCTTTAGATTTATTGAAGAACCCTAATGATGTAGGAGAGCAACCTTTTTCAGTCTGCCTGTGCATACAGTGCAGCAGCAGCACCTGTACAGATCAACAGTGTTCTTAACCAGGCGTGCTGCCACATTCAAAAAGGTTGCTGGCTCTAAAAAGGTTGAGAACCACTGATCTAAACAAGAGTTAAGCTATACTTTCTCATCTAGTATTGACATTTTCCTTTACTTTACATGCCATGCAACATAAGTATAGCTGGTGTAAGTATAACATGATTCCAGCAGCATTTTTACTCTCAGTGGGCACATCTATGTGAGAAGTTTACTATGAAGTAGACTAATTAGTCCCACAGTAAACATCACTTGTGTACCCTGCACCCCTTATTAGGCTGGAGTAAACTAATTAACTTCACAACAGGGTAGTACTTGTAAACACAAGTAGTATCCTGCTGGGAAGTTTTTACTTTGCAGCAGCACATGTGTAGATGCTGCTTTTGCTGCCTGGGGTACAAGGGTGCTTCAGTGTGGGGGCTGCTCTAGCCAGCCCCTCCGCAGCACATTGAGGCAGTAGGAGCAGCCCTGGGCTGGCAGGCTGACCCCCCAGGGCCCTCTGCCAGCTGGGGCTGCTCCGACCCAGGTCTGCATGAGGCGGTCCCAGGCACACATTCAGACAGTGCACCCAGGAGCAGTAAACTTCAGAGAAATAAGTTACAAAGTTTATTGCTTCAAATGAATTGCATGTGTAGATATGCCCAGTTATAATGTTTTCAAAGTATCTTAAATATCTTGGTGTCTTAAATTCATTTCTTGCTTTTCAGAAAGCTTTCAGTTTTCAAGATGTAGAAGCACTGTATGTTCTGACTGATGGCAAACCAGATACCAGTTGCAGTCTCATTCTAAAAGAGACTGAAAAGCTTAGGAAGAAACAAGCTATCAAAATCCACACAATTTCTTTTAACTGTGCAGACAGGTATGTTTAACTTTTGAGAAAAGTATAAAATTATTAATCAAGGTATAATTTAGTCCCATTTTCCTTTTTCTGAAATTCTCTAAATGTAGCATTCTTATTGTGGTGATTTACAAGGCAAAATTCAACTTAATTTACAGATTCAGATAAATGGTTGTATATGTGAATAAAGCAAGTCTTATTTATACTACAAATTACTAACAGGACACATTTCATTTTTAATATCAATTTTCTGACGCTTGCTTTAAGACAGAATCTATATCCTATCTTGTGTTGTTAGAAACGTTCCTTAATTGTAGGGACTTTTAGGTTCAGCTCTTTAATTTGAGTAAGTTGTCATAGTTCAGTGGAAGTTTCATAGTTTCATAGTTTCTAGGGT